GGAAAAGCATTTGTTTTGTTACCAAACACAACAAGCCGTTCTCACTGTTGTGATGCAGATTTCAAATATAAATTTCAAATGTATTCGAGCAAACCCTTGATTCGTATCAACCCAATGCCTACAAAATCAACTCATCACATAGAAGGATTAGACCGTGAAGACATACACTAGATGTAAAATAGGGGTGGGGAGAGGGAGGAGAAGGGGGGGAGGAATATCAGCTGTTTAAAGAAAAAAAAAAAAACACTTTGCTATAGACATAGAATATTAAAAAAAAATACTAGCCCATCAAAACTAGAACATTTAAATCTGGCTATTTATTCTTGTTGCGGATCTCTGGTGAGATGTGCTTGGCTACAAGAAGTTACAGATTTTACTGTAGTGAAAATATCTAATTTAGGATGTGCCTATGGGACACTGATAAACAGTCTGTGTAGAAAAAGATAAGGGGTGTGCACAGAAACAACATTTCTCTAAAATTTCAAGGCTTGAAACATCACCTTCTAAAGCTAGTTCAGTCTCAAATGGGATAAAACTAGATTAGGGCAGATGTGGTTAAACAGGTATAGGGGAAACCAGGATCAATTTTGATAAACCAGGAACCCCATAGAGTAACAAGTTCTTTCAATAAAAGTATCTACAGAAACGAACAGATCTGCGAGAGCGAAAACAGTTTTTATTTCAAGCTATGGCCCTGGAAGTTCACAGCACTTTGCCCTGTTTGAGGCATAATGTGTCCAGTTTAATAGGATGTGTCTGCTTTTCTTTGAAATTGCTAATGCCACTCAGTGTTACCTTGTCTCTTTCTAAACGTAAACATTACTACTCATCCTAATCTTAAAAGGATAGCTTTTCTGCTAAACTTCAATCTTATTATCCATGCCCAAAACCTGTAAGCTATTTTTTCGCCACCTGCTTGGTCTATCGAGGATTGCATTAAATCCTCTCCGTTAGAAGAGGCAGCTTCAGTGAATCACAATGCATTCAAGAGATGAGTTAAAAGGGTATAGAGACATTTTTTGGGATAATATGAAAACACCATCATGATCAAAACAGTTTGCAACGCCTTGAAAAAAAACAAAAAGAAAAAAAGCAACACGTTTTAGAGATTGTATGCAGCCACTCCCATTCTTCAAATGGGGGACTCAAAGACCAAGAGACTGACCTCAGAAATCCCAGTTAAGAATAAAGTGAGCAAGTTCATGATGTAAAGCATACAATGACAATACATAAACAAATTAAATACAAAAATCACACGAGGCCAACACATAAAAAAGAAGAAATGGGTGCACATCTCAACTCTACTTAAAATGCAAGAATATTACACTGGATGTATCCAAAATGAATAATTACATTAAACTTTATAATGTACAGTCTGGCTTTACATGGACAAAGAGGGATTCAATATACATTTTATAGACACATATTGTATGTTTGTGATAAAGGAGACATGCATATGTATTTCTTCAAGATATTAACAAAATTAATACATTTTCTGTTTTTGTTTTTTTAACTGCCTCCCTCCCAAACAAATATATATAAAATACCTATTGCACTGTGCATATGGTAGGCATAGCATGTCAGTGTGATCTGTAATACAATGTTTGCTTGGCCTCTGGGGTATATTTCATTCCTAGATTCATGTTCCTAGGCAGATCCCGTTCTCACCATCTGTTTCTCCAGAAATCTTTTCCCTGAGTAGATCAAAGCAGCACAGACTTGCCCAACACAGAGAGGCATGGAGTGCATGGCACTAATCATTTAATACAACAACAGGATCCATAAAGGCTTTGCATTGCAATAATTTGCTAATGCCTGGATCATCTCACTGTGGGCATGACCTGGCATAGAAAGGGTGCAGCCCAGAGACACTAATCTCATTTAAATGAATTACCACCCTGTCTATACATAATGGGACCAGTGTCCAACCAGTTGAAGAGAGATAGAGGCTCAGTTGGGTTATGGAGGCAGAGAGTAGCACAGCAACATGTTGCCAAGAGGTGAATGCCCAGGAAGGAATAACCAGGCAGTCGAAGAGTGCAGTCCATGGATATTGATCACAGCCAAACGAATAACCAACCTGTCTCTAAAGCAGAATATGTTAGCGCTATATAAATACCAACAATAATATTAATAATAATCATCTCCATTAGCCAAACATTTGTATGAATTACCAGAATGTGTTAGGGAGCTATGGAGGTAGCACATGAGCATCCTGCCCAGGGATGAAGGGAGTACCTCTGATCTCCCACTAAGAGAAGGCTAGCCTTAGCACCACTGGTGCTTTGTGAAATACATTTCCCATGATGCTCAGCCAGCCATCCAGCCCTGGTGCTTTGTGAAATACATTTCCCATGATGCTCAGCCAGCCACCCCTGGTGCTTTGAGAAATACATTTCCCATTATGCTCAGCCAGCCACCCCTGGTGCTTTGAGAAATACATTTCCCATTATGCTCAGCCAGCCAGCCCTGGTGCTTTGTGAAATACATTTCCCATTATGCTCAGCCAGCCAGTCAGCCCTAGCTGGCAGAGCATCATGGGAAATGTAGTTCAAAAGATATGTAGGGTGCTAGGGCTTCTCATCATTGTAAAAGCAATGCCTCACCCAGTCACTTCCATTCAACACATGATCCCCAGCAGCACACTGACTGCAAAAGCACAAAGAGAGCTGGAAGCAGGGACTTACCTGGGATGTGCAGCCTGTGAGGGTCAGTATGGAGGTCTCTCTAGCCTCTTGTGGAGTGAGCAGGTTCTAGCACTTATATGGACAGACTCCTTCCTTCTCTCAGCCCGAGGATCTCTCTCCCTTGCTCCCTCCTATTTCTCTCTCCTCAGCACCTGCTGCTGAGAACAGCTCCTCTACTGACAGCCAGTGCGCGCCCCCTGGGCGCGTCCACGATGTCAAGGTGGCGCGCCTCCTCGGCAGACCAATCAGAGAACAGGGGAGTGGCGGAGGATAGTATTTTACGCTGGAGGCAGGATTCTGTATAAGAACGGCCTATTGATACTATTCCAGCCAATCAACGTATTGGTGGTGAAAAATGGTATGGGTACCAGAACGAGGGGTGTAACGCACAACCAGCACCTTGGAACGCAAATAAGCTTTGGATTACTACAATCACTGTCAACCTGAGCATTAAATGTCATAAATTTCAATATCTGCTTATCGTGTATGGGCTGAACATTAACTCATTCCCCAGTTATGTTATTACAAAAGCTGCTGCAATGTGTTCTTTTACTGGTCTTTTACACAATGGGGTGTATTCACTAAGCAAACAATTGCAGTGTGATATAAAAGTAATTTACTTTTGTTTGTTTTTTTAGTTTAAAAAAGAAAATAAAGTGTTTGTCGGTGCATTTTAAATTGCCATGCAGTCAAAGTGGATTTTAGAATTTTAGGATAGTCAAATCTGGAAAATTCTTAATCTCAGTTCAGCTCTTTTGGACAATAGAAACTTGAAATTAATTTTATTCACTAAACAGAAAACATTTATGGTACAGTAGCCAAACGGTGACTATAGAACCCCCCAAATTACAGGTTTGCATAAACTGTGCAGTATGGTTCTCAATTCACCACTTTCTAATGTTGAGTAATCCCATTAGTGAACCTGACAATTGAAACTATTCTCCAACTTGTCTATATTCCCATGCTGATTATTTCAATCAGACAGAGCTATTATAAGACACACTATAGCTCATTGAAGTGGTCTGGGTGCACTGTCCCAAGTCCCTTAACCCTGCAAAGGTAATTATCGCAGTTTTTAAGAAACTGCAATAATTACCTTTCAGGGTTAACTCCAGACAGCCACTAGAGGGAGTTCTGGGCTGTTAGACGACTTGTGGTCGCCTGACGCTGGTCGTCCTCACGCTATGCATGAAGATTTCCAGCGTCACTCGAATCACCATAGGAGAGTATTGTATAATGCTATACTAAGGGGAAATCCTAATGCGATCATGGACATTGTCGCACATTCACTTTATGTCTCCCCCGCCGGCTGACATCGGCAGAAGAGGAGTGAAGGCGGACCCAAGCCAGCACCAAGGGACATCGGTGCTGGACCCAGATAAGTGACAGAAGGGGGAAGCTATAGTGCTAGAAAAACAAGTTTGTTTTCCTGGCACTATAGTTTCCATTTAACTCAAATAAGAATTTCTGGAAATTCAAAGTGAATTTCAAATTTAAAGCCAAAGTACAGGAAGCATAGCTGACTTGAAGAATGTTTCCAGTTTGGGTATTTTTTTTTTTTATAAATTCTTTATTTGTAGGTTTTTCTCCTTGAAATTAGGAGGGAGGGGAATGGGGTACAGAAAATAAAAGGAGGGGTGGGTGGGGGTGGTTCAAGACTTAATAGTACTTTCAAATTTAATGTCAGTACCAACGCAGGGTACTGTTGCATATTGGAAATAGCTTACATTCGTATCAACATTGTATTAACATTGTATCTTCCTTGAACGCTTATTTAAGTTCCCTGTCGTTTCTACGTTCTTAAGGGATGGGTTTTGTCACTCGTCGACTCTTTGTGAGTCCTGTTTCGCTATGTATGGGTGCAGCCTTGTCCGAGTCAAGGAGTGGTTTAGGGTAAGGGTTGTGGGATAGGGCGGTGTGGACATGGGGGGGAGGATTCGCGGTCCGCGAGCCACCCAGCGCGCGGGTCCCTCTCGGGGGTCCTAGGTTGGTGTTTGGGGCTATGTGGTTAGGTGAGGGTTGTACTTATTTGGAGGTGTGTGATATCCTCGATTGGGGGGTCCCTATGCTAGGGGGGGGGGGCGGTTAATATCCTATCGTGTTACCACGGAATGGTCGTGTCTCCCTCCAGCCATGGGTCCCATATTTTGTGGAATTTTTTGGGCGAGTCATGTATTTGTGCAGACACAGCCAAAGCTCTGATGTGGCTCAAACAAAAATATTATGAAAAGGGCAACAAGGCGGACACCATGCTTGCCCGCAGATTTAAAAAGCGAACTGAAGCTAAACGCATTGCAAAGATACGCGCGAACGATGGTACCCTCACAGACTGCCCAACTAGCATAGGAAAAGTCTTCCAGGACTATTACACGGACCTCTACAACCATGACCACCGACCCCATGACACCAGCCCATCGCTGTCCACACGCATAGACACATTCTTACAAAGCACGACGCTACCCACCCTGACGCAAGAGGCCCAAGCAGCCCTGAGCCAAGACGTCACGACAGAAGAAATGACCATGGCAGTGGGATCCCTCAAACCAAATAAAAGCCCAGGACCGGACGGCTACACAGCCCTATATTACAAAGAATTCGGCCCACTACTCCTTACACATCTATGCGCGGTCTTTAATGCAGCACTCAAGGGAGAGAACCTCCCACCAGAAATGACCGGGGCAAACATCTGCTTCCTCCCAAAACCCGGCAAAGACCACTCTGAACCCGCACACTACAGACCAATTTCCTTACTCAACGTGGACCTTAAAATCATGACCCCACATGGTACGTATTCCAGGATCGACCTATTCCTCACGAATGCTGCAGGTCTTTCACGCACTGTAGGCTCACAAGTTGGTAACATTTCTTGGTCGGACCATGCTGACGTCTCCATCACACTGGGCAATCTGTGTGCAGCTTCACCGTGGACATGGAGGCTCAATACATCATTACTTCGGGATCCTGAAGTGGTGGCACAGGTTAGGAAGGAGTTGATAGATTACTTTGGTACGAACGACACCCCAGACGTGACGGCGAGTACAATATGGGCGGCACACAAGGCTGTAGTGAGAGGGACACTGATCAAGATAGCCACCAGAAAGAAGAAACAGAAACATCAACAGCTAGAGACTATGCTGGGACAGCTACGAACCCTTGAATTAAAACACCAAACGACCCCGACCGAAGAGCTCTACAGACAATTAGAAACAGTGAGGAGAAACATCCGTACTCTATTGCTAGACGACACGGCCAGGTCCATGGTGTGGTCAAAACGTACCTACTTTGAAAAAGCAAACAAGATGGACACACTTCTGGCCAGGACACTACGACCCCGACAGGAACGGTCTCATATCACGGCCATACGACACCCGGATGGCACGACGAAATCAAAGCCGACGGAGATAGCTGAGATTTTTGAGGATTACTATAAACAATTATATCACCACACCCCGACAGGGGGTACCCGGCCTGAACAAGAGGAGGAACTTATCCTGCAGTATCTAGAGCCTTTGGGTCTGAAGAAACTAAGTAGGGATATGGCGTACAGTTTAGCAGCAGAAATCACTGAAGAAGAAGTGGACAGGGCCATCTCAGGCCTGAAGGGCAACAAAGCGCCGGGACCAGATGGGTTCGATGGCACATATTACAAGACTTACAGGGAGGAGCTTACGCCGCGCTTGGTGAAGCTTTTTGCCTACCTGAGGCAGGGCGGGAATTTAGATCCTGACATGACCATGGCTACGATCGTACTACTACCTAAACCCGGAAAGGACCTGCTCCAGCCCACGAATTACAGGCCTATTTCGCTCATTAACCATGACATGAAGATCCTAGCGAAAGTGCAGGCGGATAGATTGAATCCGTTGCTGGCCTCACTCATACATCCAGACCAAGTAGGTTTTATCCAAGGGAGACAATTATTTGAAAATACAAGGAGGAATGTTGACCTGATATGGAAACAAGAGATCACCAGGACACCCACCCTGATAGTGTCTATCGATGCCGAAAAGGCCTTTGATAGGGTTCGGTGGCAATTCCTGTTCTCCGTTTTAAAACATTTGGAATTTCCGGTGGAATACATAACGGTGGTAAGAGCGATGTACCATGAGGTGAGGGCACAAGTGCTGATAACTGGAGCCCCACTGAAACCTTTTCGTTTATTTAACGGGACCAGGCAGGGTTGTCCGCTTTCCCCCCTTCTTTTTGTCTTAGCACTGGAACCCTTGATGCAAACAATACGTAAGCATCCCAACATTAAAGGGGTCAGAGTTGGGAATAAAGAATTCACCGTCTCGGCATATGCTGATGACGTCCTCCTGACCGTAACAGACCCGGTTACTTCGATGTCGGCGTTACAAGAGGTAATGACAGCATATGGAACAGTGTCCGGTTATAAAGCAAATATGCACAAATCCAGTGCTATGTCAGTGGGCCTATTGGAAACGGAAACAAAGGAAATACAGGAGACCTTCCATATACGGATGGAAAAGGTTTCTCTGACATACTTAGGTATCCACCTGACGGCAGATCCGGAAAGACTATACTCTGCGAATTATACTCCGATGCTCAGGGCTTTAACGCAAGATCTAGAAAACTGGGTGGATAAACCCATCTCCTGGATAGGTCGGATAAATTCAGTCAAGATGAATATCCTCCCACGCCTCTTATTCTTATTTCAAGCACTACCTGTTCAACTTACGAAAGCACAACTATCCCCACTACAAAAAGCGATAGGGGATTTCATATGGCAGAATAGGAGGCACAGAATATCAAGAAAGATCCTGTATAGACGCAAAGATAGAGGGGGGCTTGGCTTACCTAATCTATATTTCTACTATCTTGCAGCACAACTGACGCAGATAGCCATGTGGCACTCCCCACCGGAAGAAAGAAGGTGGGTAGAGGTTGAGTCCATGCTGGTAGGATCGGATATACCCCAATTTACGATGTGGGTCCCTAAAGAACATCGGCCAATGATAAGAGTGACCTGCCCGGCTATACTCAACTCACTACATATCTGGGACATGACTAATGCCAAATACGGGCTAGCGTCAACTCCGTCACCTCTCACCCCTATTCTTAGAAACAGAGAGTTTCCTCCCGGCATGGCTCCAAGAGATTTCCGAAATATCGAAAATACCGGCCTACAACGGATCCATCAGTTATACCACAACGGAGAAATAGTCCAATTCGAGGAGTTACAACAAGACCGCCATTTAACACCGGCAGATTTTTTCAGATATGTTCAGATACGGGATTTTGCCCGAAGGCCACGTATTAGAACCGCGGCACAGAAACAACTGACTTTCTTCGAGAAATTGTGTTCAGAGGAAATGGCACCTAAAGGTATGATCACACTTTTGTATACACACCTTAGTATAGAAAACAAAGAGTGGGGGAGTTTAACGTATACTGAGCAATGGGAGGCGGACCTTGGAGAGGCCCTGGAAGGACTTGAATGGCAGGAGATATGGGAATCTAACAAAAATGCTTCCATATGCGTTACGCTCCAGGAACAGACATGGAAGACTATGTTCAGGTGGTATACCACACCAGTGAAACTGTACAACATGCATAAACTAGATTCGGACGTTTGCTGGAGAGGCTGCGGATTACGCGGAACGTACATCCATATGTGGTGGAAATGCTCGAAATTACACGGCTTCTGGAAAGCGGTGGAGGAACTCTTGGAACAAACCTTTGATAAACCCCTGAAGTTAGACCCCTGGACATATTTACTGAATAGAACAGTAGAAGGGTGGACCAAGAGAGAACAGAGATTAGCTCATAAAATAACTCTAAGCGCGCGTAGAGAGATAGCAATTAAGTGGCTGAAACCGGAAGGACCGGTCTTTTCTGGGGTGATCTCCAGGGTACGTGAATGCAGGATTATGGACGATTTGACTGCCAGGATAAAGGGTACGACTGTAACTTTCCAAAAACTTTGGGAACCGTGGGACAATAGCCCAGTGGGCTCGAGCAGTGACTGACAGGAAACGGACCATAGCATAGACTAGGTACGCTTATCGATCCCCCTCCCCTTCTCTCCCGAGGACATTTTGATTGCACTACTGTTGGAATGAGGGCTCCCCCCCTCCCCCTTCCTCTCTCTTTTCTTTTTCCTTTCCTCTGATCTTTTTCTCTTCTTACTTTTCTCTTTCTACTGTACTTTTGTCTCCTGTTCCTTTTCCTGCTATCTATTTTTCTCTCTTTTCCGTTCTCTCTATCTCTTGATAGCCAAGAGATTAGTGTTTCTCCGCGATAGGTTTAATCAAGCTGTCAGAAGTGCTGGGATACCCATACATAGAAAGCGCTATAACACGCAGTGTAGTAGAATGGGTCCCAAATATAGCCAATATGCCTGTGAGACAGGTGACAGCTCCCTTAATGGGGCAGCGACCGGAGGGGAACGCGGGTAGATCTCGCTTGGCCTACCTGATATATATATCTTAGCTTTTTACAAATCTCTAAGCGGGCTTCTGCGTAAGCCTGAAGGTTTCTATGCAATTGTTCCACCCGTTGAGAGAAAGCATACAGTTCATCCAAAAACTCTAGACGGGTAGCAAGGCACCAACGATTTCAACATGACTTATCGATATGTAATGGATATACGCCTCTTGCGCCCAAGGCAGTGTTGCTTGCCATTGGCTTCTGCGTAAGCATTTAAGTTGGCCATGTACTTGCTATAACCTATAATATGACACACACAAAAAAAAAAACAAACCTTTGTAGACGACAGGTACCAATAGTTTCTTAAGGAATGGGCGTAGATCGTATTTGTTGCACTATGTTATGCTTATGAGAATTGAATTCACATTGGCTTCTGCGTAAGCCCAAAAAGTTGATGAATACTTGCTGCGTCTATTGAGTGAAAAATAAAGAATTTAAAAAAAAAAAAAAATCATGACCAAAATCATGGCCAACCGCTTAAACCCATACCTAAGATCCCTCATACACCCAGATCAAGTGGGATTCATCCCACATAGGCACGCCGCGGACAACACCCGGAGAGCCGTTGATCTCATATGGCTGGCTAACCACAGACGAATCCCTACAGCGATCATCTCACTGGACGCGGAAAAAGCGTTTGATCGCTTGCTCTGGCCGTTCCTCTATCAGACGCTAACATACATAGGGATACCACCTGAGTTTACCTCATTCGTGCATGCCATCTATCACTCTCCCCAAGGGGCACTTCTACTACCTAACATCCCCCCACCACGATTCCCCATCTCAAACGGCACGAGACAGGGGTGCCCTTTATCCCCCCTACTATTCGCCATATCACTAGAACCTTTGCTGCAAGCGGTGCGTGCCAGCTATGACATAGAGGGGCTAACGATCAGGGGAGAAACCTTTAAAATCTCAGCCTACGCGGATGACATCCTGCTAACACTGACAAACCTGGAAAAATCCATAAACTCGCTCCTAACTCTCATCCAAGAATACTCAGACTTGTCAGGGTACAAGATCAACCTGAATAAATCAGAGCTCCTCCCAATACAAATAGACGCTCCAAACCTAGCTACACTCAAACAAATATGCCCGATGAGGATCTGCCACACAACGATGACGTACCTAGGGATCCAACTCCCAACAGACATCACCACTCTTTATAATACAAACTACACTCCCTTATTACAAAAAGCCCACTCTGACCTCACTAAATGGAAATCACTAGGGGTCTCATGGCTGGGACGCATCGCCACAATCAAAATGAATCTCCTACCCAGATTCTTATACCTATTTCAAACCCTCCCCATACCGATCCATAAACAAGACTTTAAGGCACTACAAACAGCCATAGACACATTCATCTGGAATGGACACAAACCCAGAGTACGCCAAAACACACTATACGTACCCAAGAAACATGGGGGACTAGGACTACCACACTTCACACACTACCACACGGCAGCACACCTAACGCAGATACAACACTGGCACGTCCCACCAGGAGAAAAAAGATGGGTGGACTTGGAACACAACTTCTTCGGTCGGGACCACCCATCCCTGTACATGTGGGTACCCAAACCACATAGACCCCTACCCCCTCCCACCGCACCCTCAATCACCCATGCACTTGATACATGGGACAAAATGGGGGACAAATTTGAACTGTCATCGTTCCTATCTCCTATGACCCCCATATGGAGGAACAAGCTTTTCCCACCGGGACTTACCCCCAAGCACTTCGCCCACTTTGAACACAGGGACATTTCCCATCTAGGGCATTTGTACCAAGACGACGACATTATAAAATTCTCAGATATCAAAGACTCATCCTCACTCACATCATTCGATCACTTTAGATTCATACAATTGCGCAGCTTTGCAGCGACTCCAATCATAAAACAAGCCGGCACGGCTCAACTCAATCGATTTGAAAGAGACTGCATTGCGCACCCCAACAGACAAGGACAAATCTCCGACATATATGCAACCTTGGCGACCCACCACACACAACTGTCTCTCCCATACATAGCGGCATGGGAGGCAGACCTCGGACCCCCAGACGAAACAACAGATTGGTCAGACATCTGGGAGGCAACGGCCTCCATCTCCATATGTGTCACGCACACTGAACAAGCCTACAAAATGCTATTCCGTTGGTACCTCACCCCCCAACGCCTGGCCATCATGCACCAAATACCAGCCAACACCTGCTGGGTATTTTAATCATAAAATTTGAAATTCATATTTAAATTCCTGACACTTCTCCCTTTAGTGAATAATCCGATAATAAATCAAATTTCACTTTTCAGTTCACCATAATCGAATCAATCCAGGGTTATTCATTAAACGCCAATGGCAAAGTTTCTCCAATTGAGCTGGTCACAACTTGGCTATTTTAGCATGAATTTTGGAATTCAGTTCAGTTCAGTTTGGGCTTAGTAAATAACTCACAAATATTTCATGGAATCTAGAAGGCCAAACAGTCTTGTAAGTATCAATGAATAAATTCCCCAAATTTATACTGGTATTCTTTGCAAAAATGGTGCTGAATCAGGAAGGAGGTGTGTCACTCTAAATGTATGTATGTAATGTAACCTGTGATGCACCCATTTACAAGAGACATAATCTCAGTGTGCCAAGATGGCAGGCTGCCCATGTGCAGAGTACTGCTGAAGCTGACACACTCTCGCTTTCAATATGTACAGATAAGATTAGTGATTAAATAAATAAATAAATAAATAAAAACCCAAAGAAACCAAACTAAAATAGATAAAAGAACACTAGGAGTGTGCTCTGAGACCAAAGTTGGTTTTACAAATTAGCTTAGTCCGCTGCTGCAGCCCTGCTTCCAAATTATCCAGTTAACTCCACTGAGCTAAGCACAGATTGATACAGGGCCACATTTATTGGCTCAACTGATGCTCTCAGCCAGTGAGTGTGGCCCTGCACAGACCTCCTTAGCTCAGTGGAGCGAACTGGGTTCTCCTTGCAGAAGAATGTGGTAGCAGGGCTAGAGCAGCAGACTCCCACGGTGACCCAAGTATGTTGTGAAACTGTTAAATGGTTTGACTACTTAATTTGGGAGAGAACCAGTGCACTCCTTTGGTTATGGTACTTGAAGTATTCCTTTAAGAACCTCTGATCTATCGTATAATGAATTATTCAAATAGCTTTTCACTAAAATACTTGTCCTGATTAAGACAGATCTACACGCTATTCAGTGAATACAAACTTGCAGACCTAATTGCAAACCTATTTGAAAAGGGGAAATTGGTTAATTCATAAATAAATCATCTACTTATACAAGATAGTGCACAATAAGACGTTTTACTGTATGCTTTAGTATTCATGGGGTGGCAGCTTACTGGTCCTCCCCTCTGCACTACTCTAATGTTTCTGAGCAAAAGATTATCTGGGGATTTCAGTGAGAATGCATTATAGACTCTACTTTCATACAGCTGAATGAAGCTTGGAGCCCTACATGCTGGACTGTTATTGCACTTAGACTGCTTTATCTGCTCCTCGCACGGACTTAGATATCTTTCTAACTTTTCTTACGTATATGTTGTGATGTACTAACATTGGATTGGAGGGGAAAGAGAGTTTTCAGACGGATATGGTTCTGGCTGCAGCCACAGTACTGGAATGCAATTATTGTAGGAGATAGGACAGTACATATCCAGAAAACTGTTTGAATGCATTTATCCATTCCAAACAGGCTTGCAATAAAAGTGCATTTAATGCATCAGCGAGTAGTATTTGTTCATTATGTGGCCATTGTGATCAGTGCATTAAAGTCACTTTGATAATTTAAGTCTTTGTGCTCCATTTTCAGTATTTACTGATATCTCATCTATTACAGTAGACAAATGGGCTGCCAATATGAATCTCTTCAATGGAACCAAGGCCCTACATGTAGAGGTTATCGTTCTTGGTTGGTCTAGTACCAGTACTAGACTTGTCAGTCACCATTGTAAGATTATTGGTTCTTGACAGATAACAATAATCCACTATGGCTTTACTATAGCACCTAGCACCACAAGTCACTGCAAAATTCTCAGTATTATTACTTATTTTCCAGCTATCCTGCAGGTATTATTGTGAACTCACTGAAACCAGGTTAGTTGCCCACTGTATGTATAAAATACACTGCTGATTGTAAATGAGGTGTGTTCCTAAAAATGAAAAATTTTCAAGTATCCTCCTGTATCCACTTCCTGTCAAAGTTACCTCTCCTCTGGAACCCTGAATAGATTGACAAAGCTTGTTTAACCACTTTCTTCACTAGTCTTAGATTTTTATCTCCTCAGTTCTGCTCCAATCAAGTATTTCTATCTACCTATCCTGAACAGAGCCCCTGTTCCTCCACAAAAATCCTGGAGAGAAGTTTTTACCTCCAGACTTTCCTGAGAAGTAATGACTGTAAGGGTATGCTGATCTCCGCCAGTGGATTCCAGTATGAAACCAGTGGATTCCAGTATGAAACCAGTGGATTCCAGTATGAAACCAGGCCCCAAAGCCTTGACAGTCTAGCCCAGGTGTAGGCAACCTTTCAATAGAACTGTGCCATAACAAGATTTTGAAGTCCCTTGGTGTGCAGATCCTATTTTAAAAATTGATGTGTGTATGTTTCCGTATTCTGATTGTGTTATTTATGAGTCCTGCATTTGCTTTGTAGTGTTGTATTTGTGCATGTGGGCTATTATATTGTACAGCATACATTCATGAGTAGTTTGTGGTATTATGTGTGATATCTATAAATGTCGGCTGTGTATGTAGGCTGCTTGTGGAATTGTGTCTCTGGATGATATGCCATAGTATGTTTGGTGTGTGGGGCTGCTTGGGGCATTGCATGTGAGAGGCTGCTTGTTGGATTGTGTTCATGTATGTGGATTGTCAGTAGTGTTGTGGGACTCTGCATGTGTTTCTGTTTGTATTATTTGTATGTGGGGGAGGCATCTTTTCCAGGTCGTTTATATCGAGCAGTTTGGGTGGCTACCCTGGGGTCCAGTGGGGACCAGGCTGGCCAGGTGCAGGTTAATGGCAGGAGCTCCTCCAGTGTGGATTCTCATTCACAAGTACTGGGATGAAGTGATCTGAGATTGCTACCTCTTAGTGCTGCAATGCATAAATTGGTGATTGCAAGTTGTGAGGGGCAATCCTCATTCGGTTTGCACTTTCAGATATATGAAGTCCCACTGGGACTCCTGTTAGTCTTGAGCCTGTTTGACTTTGGCAGCCTTGAATTCCATAGGTTGCTGACTGCTTGTCTAGCCTATTCCAACATACAATTCATATTTAATACACACACACTATCCATGTTTTAGAAAATTACTAAAGAATTTGAGAATGAAGAATTGTCATGCCCCCTGGGGCACCTCTTACCTGCACTTCGGAGTCCACATGACTAGACACGTGGGTATACTACACAGCATGTAACAACCATCATGGTGCCCAATGCTGACGTCACAGCATCTACAATGGCTTTCCAGGTTACTGTGTCACATTTAGCATCCTCTAAAAGCTACTGGATTTTATAATATTTATAGTTAATGGATTGTTTTACTACTTTTGAATTTCCGGAACTTGAAACTTGATGTCCTTGTCGCTGTTCCCACTTCCACGTTCTTGTGTATGTCTTAATTTTTTTGCACTTATGACTCATTTTGTTCACGAATGGCTATTGCTTGTTGCGATTTTGTATAGGTCTTGTGATTGGGCTTGTTGTATAATAAAGTGTGGAGCTAGATTTTGCTATTGATGCATAATTGCTACTGGGATACTGATTCATGTACCCATTTGAGAAACGTTTTACTATGTACCTAAAAAAAATTAGAATTCAAATTTTCTAAATGCACATGTATTTATGTATGTGAATATTGCTTCTTGCATTGTAGTGTGTTTGAATCTGTTTATATAGATGCAAGTGAGTGTATGCAGCTGTGTAAATACATACAGGGTTAATGTTAAAACCGGTAAGGGTAAAGGGAGGTTTAACCCCTTAAGGACCAAACTTCTGGAATAAAAAGGAATCATGACATGTCACACATGTCATGTGTCCTTAAGGGGTTAAAGTTAGAGAGGGGTTCATTTCAGTGTTAGATTACATAGGATCCTAAAAGGATTAATATCTTGAAGTGTTATACTTGTGGTATAAGGGGAGTCTAGAATTATCGGGTTTACTGCTAGAATGGGCTAAATTTATTAATGGGGTAAAGGGGTAGAGCGTGGAGACATAGAAAGTAGGAGGTTCCTCTAGTGGCCTTCTGAGGGAGGTGTTAGTAGCCAGCAATGTAAACACACTCTGAAAATTCAATGTTTACAATGCTAAGCCTGTAGGGACATGCTATGGACACCAGAAACACTACATTAAGCTGTAGTGGTTCTGTTGACCAGTGTCCCTTGACGTTTTTGATTAAGTAAAGTGTTCATGTTGGGAGGGTTTAAATTTAAGATAAGGGAAAAAGAAGTGTTTGGGGTACATACATATGGAGTTTGAAAGGTTATTTCCAAAGTACTCACCATTCTTTGCAGAACAGGAGCTATTATATTGTATAAATGACTCAGTGCTGGTCCTGCTCCTCCTAGAAGGCAGTTCCTGTGTGAGAGGCTGTTAGTGGACAGATGGGAAGTGATCCCTTTCACTTCCTGTCCATCCTCACACACAGACACTGGAGGAGCTGGGACAACACTGAGCTTTAAACCTTCTGTAACAGTTCCTACAGCTCTGCTATAAAGTATTGGAAGCTGACTAGACTACTTTATCTACCCTCACCAGCCCACCTGAGTTCCAAAAAGGTACATGATAGGTGCTGTAATTAGGCGCCCATTGCAGGACAGGTGCCTACTCTGCCCGATGGGAAATCCAGCCCTGGGTCAAGTGGTTATGGTGCCTGAAGTCGTCCTTTAAATAAAGTTTTGCATTAATGTTGATTGCTTTTGTGACTGCCTCTCCTGGTGTAAAATAGATGCGCATAAAAATTACAGAACACCTCAGCCAGGGCACTATGAAGACAAGTAATGACCCTAGTTTGTAGTAATCTAAGGTCTTCCAAATGATTGTCAATACAGGGTACCAGATTTTCAGGGTGCCTATGAGGTCCATTTTTCTTTTATACACTATGTATTGTACCATACCCATTTTAATACAACAGGTATATAAGCAGTTACATTTCTAAGCGCTGCGATGATCTGAAAGCTTAAGAGTTTTAGGGGGACAACAAAGCACCATTTACACTAAGCATTAAGATAATGTGCTTTTTTCCCCTGTATAAAAAGACTTGTATTAGACATGTATCGACTAAAATGTCTATATTCTTTATCACTTTAGGAATATTGCAACAAGAGTAGCATTAAATCATAATATCTACATCAATTGCTAGAGCACATATACAGAAGTAGGAAGCTAATGTGAAATTATTCAATACTTCTATGTGCTTTAAAACACCCTTCTCATGATTTTTGACAGTTGTGATAAATATTGGCATTCATCTGCATTCACTTTAATGCTTTTAACAGTTTTCTTAGAAATATATCAATTTGCTAAATGCATCATTATTATACTTTTAGACCTTAAATATCAATGTATTTTGTTGGAATCCCTAGGTAAATTTAAAGATGGAATTTCTATAATCTTCTGTTTTCAGTATATTTATCCCATGTGCTCTCCAGAGCGCCCTTTCTGCCTCTGTGTATTAGAAACATGCCTGTCTTCCACTACATCTTCCCCGATTAAAATGGTCATAGCCAATCATATTAATACAATGTCTGCAAACCAATTAGAATATCAGAAGAAGAGACGATTTTTCAATAGAACCCTAGTATGGCTTAATTTGTGACACTTATCAGGTTGCCACGGCAGTAATAACTTAATTATGCAGAATGCAAAATGCACTCTATTGTTTTTATATATGTGGAACAAGAGCCAGCAGATGTCTGCTATTACATTGCCATTCATTAAAAACATAATTATTCAAATGGCATTTCATTGCTAGAATGACATTATGCTATTATCTATTAATATGAGTGTGCCTTGTATTTTTTTTTTTTACTGGCAAGTGAGGTGTAAACGTGAATGCTGGTGTTGTATACTTGCCAACAGTCCTAAATCAGGGAGTGCAGTCCCTACTATGGGTCTTTGACCAATGATTCCATGTTTTTCTTTCATTTCTTGGCTCAAGGGATAACACCAAATAGTTCCCAATGGTGATTGGGTTATTTAATATATTTATGCTGCATAAGTCTTTACCAGGGTATGTAAGGTAGGTACAATATATCAACGGTAGACCGAACAGCTGTGTTGGTATAAAAACATACAGGGTTTTAAGCCCTAAACACACAAAAATATGTACTGCAAAAAAATAAAAAAAATTCAGGCTCAAATAACCAAATTGTTGCTATATTTGAGTTTGAGAATTTTGATTCCTGAATTAAAGCAGTACTTGTGCCAAGTGTACTTGTTATTGTGGCAACAAATGCCTTTTTATTTTTTTAATTCCACCCACAAATGTCTGCTGGAAGGCGATCCTCTGCAGGAATTGTACACCGCTGCGGAATCTGTTGGCGTTTTATAAATACCAATAATAAACAAATAAACATTAAGAAATTTAAATCAATTTCAAATTTTAGACCAAAATAGCTAAACTGAAAACTGCTGACTTGGACATTTTTTAAATTTAGTTTTTTTTTTTTTTACAAATTCAGCTATGGTGGCCTAGAATTATGAAATACATTTTTAGGACTATTCACTAAACTCCATATGTTAAATTAAATCCAAATTGCACAATTGTGGGTAAAATAGCCAAACTGTGACTGTATTGCATTTGGGATATTTGTCCAAACGAACAATAGTAGCTTCAAGTTCGCTATTCAAATTTACATTTGTTAAAATTTAGGTTACTGAATAATCATGTTTGAATTCCTGAATTCACACTTTAGTAAAAACCCTGTCTGCATGTATAAAAAAAAATAAAAAATAAAAATCTAAAAGAGAATAAATATAGCCACATATAGCAGAAAAAAAGTTTTGTAAGTGTCCTTTTGAGTATATTTTAAAGGGACACTGTAACTGCTTTATCTCATTGCAGTGGTTATAGTGCCTGGGGTCCCTTGGCACCAAACTTTGGGATGGCCCTCTGTGTTGGTTGGGCTAATGAGGAAGAATTGGCATGAGCAGAAATGGGCTGCTGTGATTGGCTGTCCATTGCCCATCACAGTCACCATTGCTGGTTTGAATTGGTATAGCAAGAATGCAGAGTGTAATCTCTACTTTTGCTATACTTCCAGTGGGGACAGGCTGTGGGTGGCCATGAACCCTAAAAGGGACACTATAGGCACCCAGACCACTTCAGCTCATTAAAGTGGTATGGAATGCCCCTGTCAGTTTAATCCTGCAATGGTAATTATTGCAGTTATTGATAGCCCTGCAATGTAATTATTGCAGTTATTGATAAACTGCAATAATTACATTGCAGGGCTAACTCCACCTCTAGTGGTTGTCTACTAGAAGCCACTAGAGGCGCTTCCGGGTCGTTAGGTGACTCTTGGTTGCCTAACTGATGCTCTGCATGAGGACATCCAACATCAGCTGAAACTCCATAGGAAAGCATTGATTCAATGCTTTCTTACTGGGGAGTCCTAATACGATTGTGACTTGCACTGCACATTTGCATTAGGTCCCCAACATCAGGGAAGGAGGAGCGGATGCAGAGCCTGACCCAGCACCAAGAGGCATCAGTGCTGGATTCAGATAAGTGCTAATAGGGTTTTAACAATTTCTGCGGGGAGGGTGCCAGCGAGGAGGTTTTGTATTCTTAGTCTATAGTTTCCCTTTAATTAGTGTTAAACTGATTTAAATGGTTTAACACTGAATGGAGGAATAGCACCAGACATACACTGATAGACATACACACTGACACATATCCTGACAGGAATTCGGACACACAGACATATACACAGAAATACATCCTGACACACACATTGACAGACATTGGCGCAAACACTGACAGACATACTGACACAAACACAGACATACACACAGAAACTTAGACATACTGACATACACACGGACATACTCTGACAGACATACTGAGACACACACAGCCACACACACTGACAGACATACTGACATACAAAGACATATTGACACACTGAGACATACTGACAAACAGACAGACATACTGACACATTCACACACACTTTTAAGTCCACCTCCCGTTTCCTACCTTAAAGTGTGGCTTCCCTGGTGGCTGAGGCTGTTGGTGGTTGCTGTTGGCAATATCATCCCAGCCCCCCCCTCCTCTCTGTCTCCCTGGTGTCTCCTGCGCGGCTCTCTCTGGGAAGAAGTGACTCACGGCAGTCACTTCTTCCCATGCTGCCAAAAAGCAAGGGGGCCCGGTCGTGCTGTTAAAGGGCCAGAGCGCAACTGGGCCCCTGCTTACAAACACCCACCGGTGCCCCTTAGTGCATGAGCCACCCTGTGGGCCTCCTTAGTGTGCAGGGAGGGTGTGGCAAAACCGACCTCGTCACTGGGCATTGGAGAAGACTGATTGCTAGCCTCCTGCCATGTGACTATGGCCCCTGGGATGTATTGCCCTTTAAAGACATTATTTGGGCATATTGTATTTTATTATGCTGCTGGCCCTTTAAGAACCATCTGGGGACATACTGTTGATTACTGGGTGGCTACCATTTCATGTATCAGAGGCACATGGTGAGAACAATGGATAAAGCACATGGTGAGAACAATGGATGTCAGCCATTTTAACTCACATACACTATTTGGACTTTTCTACATGGTGCCATCTCGCCGGTATTTGGAGCACAAAGACATTGCACAGTAGTTTTAAACTATACAACAGGGGACACATTATACAGTAATTGTTTTTCATATAGCCTGTATATGTTCTGCGGAATCTGCATTAAACTGTATCTTCCAAACTACTGAACGGCTCTGGGTGAATTTTGGATATGTGGTTCACCCAGATACCCTGGTTTTGAGGATATGGAGTTATTGCATGTTTTGGGGTCCCTGTGATGTGTTTTATGATACTGTATTTCTCTGCCTGTCATAATTATATTAACCATTGTGTTCAATAATCATATCACAGGCAGAGGGGAGGATTTTGTATGGGAGTGTCTGTGTGTATTGTAAGGATTGATTGGTTGTATTTCAAAACCCTGTGGGCAGTACTATGTTTGTGGATTGTGAATAAAAGAGGCTGTATGTGCCAGTACAGTCAGTTCTGCTTGACCTCAAAACGAAGTGTCGTCTCGTTATTGGGGGAATTGGATTGTATGCTTTTCCTGTTCAGCTGCTTACAGCATTCACATGCTTCTCCGGCTCGGTGGTTGTGGTGTCTGCTGCAGTGCTTGGAGTCCTCAGGAAGCGCTAGGAGCATCCTTCAACAGAGGTACCCAGTCGGGGTGCCAGGAGATCCGTTACAGAGGGGAATAAGTAGTTGAGGGCAGCGGGGCCCCCAGGAGTAACTGGGCCCGGGGCACCTGCCCCGTTTGCCCCGCTTTAAAGAAGGCCCTGCATACAGGGAGTGCAGAATTATTAGGCAAGTTGTATTTTTGAGGATTAATTTTATAATTGAACAACAACCATGTTCTCAATGAACCCAAAAAACTCATTAATATCAAAGCTGAATATTTTTGGAAGTAGTTTTTAGTTTGTTTTTAGTTATAGCTATGTTAGGGGATATCTGTGTGTGCAGGTGACTATTACTGTGCATAATTATTAGGCAACTTAACAAAAAACAAATATATACCCATTTCAATTATTTATTATTACCAGTGAAACCAATATAACATCTCAACATTCACAAATATACATTTCTGACATTCAAAAAACAAAACAAAAACAAATCAGTGACCAATATAGCCACCTTTCTTTGTAAGGACACTCAAAAGCCTGCCATCCATGGATTCTGTCAGTGTTTTGATCTGTTCACCATCAACATTGCGTGCAGCAGCAACCACAGCCTCCCAGACACTGTTCAGAGAGGTGTACTGTTTTCCCTCCTTGTAAATCTCACATTTGATGATGGACCACAGGTTCTCAATGGGGTTCAGATCAGGTGAACAAGGAGGCCATGTCATTAGATTTTCTTCTTTTATACCCTTTCTTGCCAGCCACGCTGTGGAGTACTTGGACGCGTGTGATGGAGCATTGTCCTGCATGAAAATCATGTTTTTCTTGAAGGATGCAGACTTCTTCCTGTACCACTGCTTGAAGAAGGTGTCTTCCAGGAACTGGCAGTAGGACTGGGAGTTGAGCTTGACTCCATCCTCAACCCGAAAAGGCCCCACAAGCTCATCTTTGATGATACCAGCCCAAACCAGTACTTCACCTCCACCTTGCTGGCGTCTGAGTCGGACTGGAGCTCTCTGCCCTTTACCAATCCAGCCACGGGCCCATCCATCTGGCCCATCAAGACTCACTCTCATTTCATCAGTCCATAAAACCTTAGAAAAATCAGTCTTGAGATATTTCTTGGCCCAGTCTTGACGTTTCAGCTTGTGTGTCTTGTTCAGTGGTGGTCGTCTTTCAGCCTTTCTTACCTTGGCCATGTCTCTGAGTATTGCACACCTTGTGCTTTTGGGCACTCCAGTGATGTTGCAGCTCTGAAATATGGCCAAACTTGTGGCAAGTGGCATCGTGGCAGCTGCACGCTTGACTTTTCTCAGTTCATGGGCAGTTATTTTGCGCCTTGGTTTTTCCACACGCTTCTTGCGACCCTGTTGACTATTTTGAATGAAACGCTTGATTGTTCGATGATCACGCTTCAGAAGCTTTGCAATTTTAAGAGTGCTGCATCCCTCTGCAAGATATCTCACTATTTTTGACTTTTCTGAGCCTGTCAAGTCCTTCTTTTGACCCATTTTGCCAAAGGAAAGGAAGTTGCCTAATAATTATGCACACCTGATATAGGGTGTTGATGTCATTAGACCACACCCCTTCTCATTACAGAGATGCACATCACCAAATATGCTTAATTGGTAGTAGGCTTTCGAGCCTATACAGCTTGGAGTAAGACAACATGCATAAAGAGGATGATGTGGTCAAAATACTAATTTGCCTAATAATTCTGCACTCCCTGTATACATACTTCACATTTGCAATAAAGAATTGAATTTTTTTTTTTTTTTTTTAAATCTAGGCTTCCAGAACTATTAAGAAGAGCAGCTGTTTAAAGAAACATTCTAAAATAACCAGTACATCTCACTGTAGTAATTATGGTGCCAGGGGTGCCCTGGCAGCTCCCCATTGTAAGCAGTTTGATTTCTTTTCTGGGATACGTTGGGCCATGTTCCCTGCCTCCACTACTGATGACGGACAGTTGAAAAGTCTCTGTATGAGCTTAGCTCAGCAGTGCAAAGCAATAACCTGCTGTACGGCCTTAGTGGTGGAAGCAGCGCCCAGCAGAACCTAGGTCAGAAGTTAAACCATTCTAAAGCGGTTGGACTACTTGGGTGTGTGCCAAGGGACTACTGGCACCATAACCAGTTTAGCAAGCTGTAATGGGTATAGTTGGAGGGTTCCGTTAGTCAAAATGTAACAATTCTGGTATCCACTTGCAAGTAACTTTCAATCACCGCTCCAATCCATCGGGTTTACTCACTAACATGAGAATTGTTGGAAGCGCACTGTGAATTCAAAGTGAATTTCAAACTTAAGGACAAAATAGCTAAACAGGAAAAATTCACCAAGTCAGTTCAGAATTGTCAAGTCTCTGAAAAACCCAGCTTGCACAAAAAATCCATCTCAATAGTTATAGGCCACACACCTACAATTAATAATCACATTTCACACGTTTTACAATTAGATGTAGACGTAACACATGAAAATCTTTCTTACCTCCTGGATACACTGCTCCTTACTTCTCGTACAATTTTACTCAGAGATGCAAGTTCCTCCATGTTTTCTTCTGGATGTATATTCCTTGTACACACTGATGTGCAGAACAAGAGACGTGTATTAGTCCCAGCAGTCCTAGATTTGGCTGCACAGTCCTGTATTTGGACAAACATCTTGGGTTTCTTTTCTGGTGTCTTGGTCCCTAATAAGCTCAGATCATCTGTCTCTTTCATCATGCTTACATGCAAACCAAACTAAGGACATTCAGCTCATTCATGAGCTCTTCAAAAGCCGAGAAGGCTTCCCATAGAGCTTTAGGCAGGTTAACTCTTGGCGTAGGGATGGTGAATAAGGCCAAGCTTGGCCAAGTATCTTCGCTGTACCGGCATCCTGCCTAACATGTGCCCAAGGCAATATATCATACCTCCTAGCATTTCAAATAAATAAAGAGTGACACTTTAATTTTAGGGGTGTGGCCAGGGACAGGACTGTTCTTAGAAATTTTAGGTGACAGAGGGATTTGGGCCCAAAATAGGGACTGTTTCTCCTACATAGAGACAATTGGGAGGTATGACATTGGCAGTCAGTGAAGTCTACTCAATCACTGAAGAACCCTGAAGCATATTCAGTCTACATACTACAGGGCAATACTTTTGTTATATACTCTGTGTCAACATAAGGATATATGTTTCTTGGGAATAATGACACCCCATTTCCTTTCAAGCGCAAGTTTAGTTGGCCACTTTGACGTGCCAGTTATATGGTATTTCTTTAGGGACACTCCAAGCACTATAACCACTGCAGCACTTAGCTCAGAATAACTCATGGAAGATCCTAGTAGGATTTTCCAACTGTCCATACAGGAAATAAATAAATAAAAAATTACATACATTGCAGAGTGCTGAGGACTGAATATACACTAAATAAATAATAAAAAAATGTCATTTACACGCTAGAAAGCACAGTTTGTATGTGAAAAACCTAAGTTAAACTATAAAAACAATACAGACAACCAGGTAGGTGGTTGTAAGTCCTATTGCTCAGCCTTTCACTGCAGGCAGCTCCTATCTGGGTTCTCCTTCTAATTGATTTTCTACCAAAATCAAGTTTTACACCCCAATAAACAACAACAACAACAATAACTGTGTGCTGCTAACTATCAGGAATGGCTCAGGCAGGTGTGTGCCTCGTCACGTGATCACAAGATTCCCACAGCGAGGCATGCAGGGAATTGTAGTCCTAAGGGGAAACAAAAACCTTCTTATTTAGTATCTCCTGTTTCTGAAAACACTCCTCTAACACGGGCAGTGCTTTCAGTTTTACAGATTAACCTCTGTCACCCAGTGAACTGGTTATAGCATAGCCAGGGGGAATGAAGGAAACTAAAAATCCACAGAGAGCAGACTCCATTTCCCGGCATTCCAAGCAGCGGCATTGGCGGTAGTGTGCCGGCGGTCGCTATGGCAACAGAGTGCCTGCCGTTAGGAGAGCAGAAGGTAACTGTCGAGATGTCGGTTTAATGGATGGACATGCTCTTTAATGTGTGAGTCTGCTTGGTAATAAGACCATTTTATGTTCTATGTCCGTGGCTCTCAGTGACAAGGCTGAAGTAGATTTTTTTTTAATTTTTTTATTTAGGAAATAATGTAAATCAGAAAAAAAACAAAGCTATACAAAATTTATATATAGAGAGAGATAGAAACAAGCAATTTGTCATTTTGTTTCCTTAGCTCAGTAAAAAAACAACAATAGAGTGTTCTAACAGTCTAAACATTCTCAAAGCTTCCTAGATGGAAGTGTGGTCAATTCTTATTTTAGGGAAGTTATTACCAACATAACAGGCGGACTTGTAAGTGTTTCAGTGGTTTTAGCAAAACAGAAGGAAAGGAAAGGGTTAAAGTGAAACTATAATGTTAAATATACCAAAAAAATAATAATCAGAGACTACTCCACCCATTTAATGTCAGAACAATGGTTTTATACAATTAAGGTGTGGTGTAGGCGGATCCCAGGCACCAGGGCCGGACTGGGAAAAAAATTAGGCCTGGGCATTTTTCAATCAGAGCGGCCCCCTAAAAAGGGGGCGGGGCCAGAGAGTGTGTGTTTTGTCATCACTAATGACAACACGCCCCCTCTCAAAGTGAGCATGTTGGTTCAATGCGCAGAGCCCCGCTGAAGAGCTCTGGCATTAGAAAAAGGCCCTGAATTTGTTCTGCGCAGCACAAGCAAATTTAATAACATGCTTGCGCTGTGTTTGCTTTTAAATTGTCTCTGGTGTCTCAACAAGTGGGATACCAGAGGACAAAAGGGCCAGGAAAGTGCATGGTGCATATGTTTGGAGCCTGCTTGTGGGATTGCGTGTGTGTAGAGTGTGGTGTGGTATTGTACAAATAGGTCAATTTAATTTGTGTTTGTGGTGTAATATGTGTGGCT